CCCCCACCCGGGAGACTTGTCACCTCCCCACCGCTAGAGGGACCCCACATGCCGCGCGCTTCTGGGATGTGACGTCACCTGGCGCAGGGGTGTGAGGCACGAAAAGCGGGCGCGCCACTTGTTGGTGTGTAGGGTCTCACGCGCATGTGCGGGAAGAGGAGGGAGGGGGGGATTGAGCGCGTGCTGCTCCCGGGGAGCCGACGTGTCGGGCGCTGGGCACGCGGCTCGTTCGGGTCCTAGCGCAGCTTGTGAGTTTAGCTCGCGTGGAACTGTGGCTGCCGCCAGCTCAATTCTGCAGCAGCCCCGGAGCCTCCTCGGGGGCTGGTGGCTTCTTGCGGCCAGGGGACCCCTCGCTCGCGCCGGGAAAGTTCACCCCTGGAGTTGGCTGCAGTGGAAAAGTTAGCAGTAGAAGGGGCCCCAGCGTGCGCAGCAGGGACGACACGGGGCGCTGTTACCAATAATCGCTTGAGTTCTACTAGCAAACCAAACAGAAGTCTAGTAAAGGGGAGAGAGAGGGACACAGAGCCCGTAAAATTTGCATTACTTGCACTCGCGCTATTTATATCTCCTGGAAAATGCCCCGGTGTGTTGGTCATCATTCTCACTGTTGTCATCAGCTTTTCTAATGTGTGTGTTAGGCTAATGCCTCCTAGTGGTTTATATATAGGGAGATTTTTACTACTTGAAGCTATGCACCCCACTTCTTTGGGGTGCCCCATTTACATTTGTGTCTTTGTCATAGAAACAGGCTAGCACAATGGTGAGTAATCTGCATCCCATTGGGGTTCTATTTGTAGCCTGAGGGACATTTTGTTTACTGTTGCCTGCCCACCGGATTGCCAGAGTCAGCTGCTTTCTGTCTGTATAGTTTGTTTCCTACTTGTGTTAAAGTACATGCACATACAGTAAGGCTACGTCTAAACTGGCATGATTTTTCACAAATGCTTTTAACGGGAAAGTTTTTCATTAAAAGCATTTGCGGAAAAGGGCATCTAGATTGGCACGGATGCTTTTCCACAAAAGCACTTTTTGCGGAAAAGCGTCCGTGCCAATCTAGGTGCACTTTTGCGCAAAACAAATCTGAGCTGTCTACACTGGCCCTTTTGCACAAAAGCTTTGTGCAAAAGGGACTTTTGCCCGAACGGGAGCAGCATAGTATTTCCGCAAGAAGCACTGATTTCATACAGTAGGAAGTCAGTGTTCTTGCAGAAATTCAAGTGGCCAGTGTAGACAGCTGCCAAGTTTTTCGGCAAAAGCACTTGCTTTTGCTGAAAAACTTGCCAGTCTAGACGCAGCGGGCAGGTATATGAAGCGAGTTGTGTGCTCAATGCGTGCAACATTCTGGAAGCCATGTGCTCCCTCTACATCCATCCAAACAACACGCTGCTACAGTTTAATCAGCCCCCCCTCCTCCCAAATTCTAGGTATGAAGGCATGGGTAGAAAAACTACCCTATTCATGGAAACCATCTTGGTTACAACAATCTTGCATTCCAGTGAGATGGAGGGGCACTTGTGGCCCGCTCACTAGCTGCCTATATTGCCCATCACTGATCCACACTGAATAGTTTACACTACAGTTTAAGCCCCCAATCTTGCAAACATCTTCTCACAGGTAGAAGTGTTTGCAGGATTGATATCGGTGAAGAATGTTAGCTAATGTGTTCAGTAGTGTCATTTTATGTATGGGATTGTAGGCAAAGTGAAACCTGTGGATGGACACGAGACAGGTAATATCCATAGGCGTGCGCAACACATTTCATTAGGGTGTGCACCCAAAGAATTTTTTTAAAATGTACTTTACCCCCATTAGCCCTGACCCTGTTAGCCACGCTCCTGACCCCCAGTGGCCACACCTCTGGAGGCAACACTTTCTGGGCAAGATGGACACATGACCAAAAGGTGTCATGTGACCTCCCCCCATTTCCCACCATCCTCCTACCAACAGGGATTAGTTTGGCCGCCACCAAATCCCCCTCATGCAACTATCCTGCAATTGCACTAACCCAATGTATGTGACATTAACTTGGAGGCGGAGAGGCTGGGGGAGTGATCCCTCTAAGAGTTTCCTCCGATGAGCAGAATGAATTTTGAGTTGTGCGCCAATACTGAGTTCATGTAGCTTGTTTGGATGTGTCACTGTGGCACCCAAGTTATTAATAAATATCTCATAAATCTCTACCTTTTCCCTCTTGCCATGTCTCCTCCCCTTGCTCCATCAGCTCCCCTGGTGCCTGCTGCCCTCCAACCTCTCACCCTCCTTTGCTGTCCTGACTCTTGCCCTTCTCGCTGCCCTCAGCCTTCCTGAGACCTGCCCCCCTCCACCAGCCCTTCTCTCCCCCCTGTGCCCACTCCTCCAGTAGCCCCACTCTGATCTGAT